CCCAACCACCTGAATTGATCTAGAACACCATGATTGATGGTATCAAAAGCTGCCAATCAAAAAGGGCTAGGATACCATTCTAACCCCATCCTGAGCCCGCTAGAGGATATCCACAAGTGCAATCAATGCTGTCTCAATACTATGCTGGTGCCTGAAACCTGACTGAAAGGGTTCTAGATAACCTACTTCCTCCAGGACCCTCTGACAACCTTCTCAGCAACCTTCCCCAGAAAGGGAAGGTTGGAACTGGGTCAGAAATTATCCAACACCATTAAATCTTGGGATGTTTTCCTGAGAAGGGGAAAACCAATCCTTCACTTGAGGTTGAATTCACCACTGCTTGGACCTAACCACATTTCTAGGGAGATTTTGACCAACAAGGAAAGACATTGATTTTATAAACAGATTGCTGTACTCAGAGCCTGAGGACCCTGTCCACTTCCTCGAGATTTACAGGCTCAGACTGCTCCCAGATAACCAAGTCATACAATGCCTTAATAACCTCCACAGGACATGTACAGCTGAAATCAGATCTGACCAATTTTACCTGTCAGATGCCTAGAATAATCCTCATAACGACCCTATAGATGTTTCTCTGACTGCTCCCTGGCTAGTAGGGACTAGGTCACTTTAAAGAGGGTTTAGTGTACTGGGTTAAGGCATCAGGCTAGAAACCAGGAGACCGTGAATTCTAGTCCTGCCTTAGGCACAAAGCCAGCTGGGTGACCTTGGGCCAGTCACTCTTTTTAGCCCTAGGAAACAGGCAATGGCAAACTACTTCTGAAACCTTGCCAAGAAACTTATTGTCCACGCAGCCACCAGGAGTCAAAAACTGACTTGAAGACACACACACTTTAAAGAGTGCCACTGGCTGGCATTCTGTGGACACAATAACAGTGGAAAAATAAGTTTTGCCACACAGATTGCCTTGATGTAGTCCTTAATATAGACTCTAATATGTGTTTGTTCAGATTCCTCATCTTCATCAGTGGCACTCCAGGTGTCCCTTCTATTGTTTCATCTCCTGGAGCTTTTCTAAAAACTAGTGAATCCCCCAGGATCCACAAACAGGGAGGGGATGCACAGGCAAATAGATCCTTCCAGTCAGTGTTGGGGGAAGGGGAAGTCCAGCCATAGGGACTGTAGGGTTAACTGTCTCCCCACTTCTATTTAGCATCCATATGAATCTACTGGGTGAGGTCATCTGCAGGCACAGGGTTAAGAACCAAATGATGTTGTCAAGGTTCTTTCCCACAGCCTAGACTCAATCCTAGCAAGACAAAGTGGCACTGGGTTTTAGGGCCTCCTGGGTCTGGAGATTCCCTATCTCTGACTCTGGATGCGGTTGCACTCCCTCTGACAAAGTTGGCGTGCATTTTAGGGGTCTTTCTGGACTCATAGCTCCTGCTTGAGGAGCAGGTGGCAGCTATGGCTAGTGTACAAATGCATCTTGTGCACCAATTGCATCCATTCCTGGAATAGGAGGCTATGCTCGGGGTCCCTCACGCCTTAGTCCCTTCCCAGCTGTTCTGGTACAACACACTCAGTGTACTAGATTGGGGACTGTCCTGAACAGCATTCAGAAGCTGATCCAGAATGCATTCTGGATCAGCTTCTGAATGCTGTGATGCATGCAATTTTGGGTACACCTTGGTATGCTCACATAACACCACTGCTTCGCAAGCTGCACTGGCTCCCAGTAGGCTTCTGGGTGCAATTTGCAATTTAAGGTGCTGGTGATTACCTATAAGGTCCCACATGGGGGCCAGCTTATTTGAGATTGTCTGACCCCAATTGTATCTGCCCATCCTACCAGATCTGCTAGGGTGGCATGCTCCAAATCTCTTCCATGGAACAATGCCATCTAGTGGGACTTAGAAAGCATCCATTCTCTTTCACAGTGCCTGCCCAATCGAACAGGATCTCCACTGGGATCCAGATGGCCCTGACTCTGTTATCCTTCCAGAAAGCCTTGAAGATGTGGCTTTTTCTTCTGGCATTGTGGCCAGATTGTTAGTGGAACCCAAAATGTATGGAATGTTGATTGAGAGATTGTTTTTACGTGCCTTCTCTACACTGTAATGTTATTTCTATGATTTCCTGTGTTTTTATATATTTTGTATTGTAAGCCACCTAAATTCACAAGGTTGAGATGGGCAGCTATATGAATTATTATTATTATTACTATTATTATTATTATTTGCATTTGTATACAGTAGCCGCCCATCTCACACAAAGTGACTCTGGGCAGCGTACAACAGTTAAAAATAAATACATAAAAACAATTACAAATAAAAAACTATACAAGCACACAAAACAGCACACAAAACAGGAGGTGATAAAATTAATAAGGGAGCCATCACAAAATCTCCCCAATCCCCTGGGACCCCCAGGTCTGATCACATAGCCAGGTCTTGAGGGATTTGCGGAATGTTAAGAGGGATGCAGCTAATCTCACTTCTGGGGGGAGGAGATTCCACAAGGTGGGTGCCACAGCAGAGAAGGCCCACCTCCTGGGACCCGCCAACTGTAATTCTCTGGCAGTCAGGACCCGCAGCATGCCTTCTCTGCCAGACCTGATGGATGGGCATATGTGATTGGGGACAGGTGGTACCTCAGGTAACCCAGCCCCATGCCATGAAGGGCTTTAAGATCAAAATCAGCACCTTGAATTGGACCTGGAAACAAACTGGCAACTAATGCAGCTCGCGGAGCAGAGGTGTAATATTTATTGCCCTAGGGGCACACATAACTGCCCGCGCCGCTGCATTTTGCATGTAGAACACATTACAGAAATCCAAATGGGAGGTGACTATGGCATGAGTGACAGTGATTAGGTCTCTCTGATCTAGGAATGGGCACAACTGGCACACAACACAAAGCTGTACAAAGACCTTCCTAGCCATGACTGCCACCTGCTCCTCACCTTCAGGAGGACCCCCAGATTGCACACAAGGTCCGTCTGGGGCAGTGCAACCCCATTCAGTACCAAGGATGGCACAGCCTTAGCACCAGAAGGCCCCAAAACCCAAAGCCACTCGGTGTTGACAGGATTCAGCTGAAGCCTGTTGTTCCCCATCCAGACCCTCACAGCCTCCAGGCACCATGATAAGACATTTACAGCATCGCTTAATTCGCCAGGGGCAGAGATGTATAATTGGGTATCATCAGCATACTGACAATACCTCACCCCATGGCGATGGATGAGCTCTCCCAGTAGCCTCATGTAGATGTTAAATAGGAGGGGAAAGAGCATCGAACCCTGCAGCACCCACATAACAGGGGCCGAGGGTGGGATCTCACCTCCCCAACCACTACCGACTGGAATCGGCCCCGGAGGAAAGAGGTGAACCAGCAAACACAGTACTGCCGACCCCCAATCCTCTGAGCTGATCCAGAAGGATACCATGGTCAATGGTATCAAAAGCTGCAGAGAGGTCAAGTAGGGCAAGGATGGATGGACAACCCTTATCCCACTCTCGCCAGAGATCATCCGAAATTATGTAAACAAACAAACAAAAATAGTCCCTACTCACAGAAGTTCCTTTATTCTGGTTTGCTGTGATATTCTCCCTTCAATTTATTACAGAGAAGGGTTAGCAAAACTCCTCTCTTATAATATTTATGCCTCTGTGGTGATGAACAGGTAGAGACAAATGACCACGTCCTTTTGTATTGCCAATTTTATAGAGATATCCTGTGTGTATGTGTGTGCACACACACGTCTTTGAGTCAGTGTTGACTCCTGGTGACTACCTGGACAGGTTCCTGCAGTTTTCTTGGCAAGGTTTCAGAAGTGGTTTACCATGGCCTCCTTTCTAGGATTGAGAGAAAGTGACTGGCCCAGGGTCACCCAGCTGGCTTTGGGCCTCTGGCAGGATTATATAATTCACCATTTCCTAGTTTCTAGCCTGGTGCCTTAACCATACACCAAACTGACTCTCTCATAGAGATATCTGCAGTGTCCTTATTCTTCTACTTTTTACTAGAATGCTGGATCACTCCAGCAAGTTTCATGTGGTTGTTTTTAATCTGATAGTAATTCCTTTTTAACACAAAGAGTTGTGCAATAGCATGTAAGATCTGTAGGTCAGTAACAAATCTTAATTTCTCTGTCAGTATATGGATGCTAAATTTTATTTTACTTATATAGCTCTTGCTAAAATACTCTGTTCTTTTTCTAGCTGGTGGTTGTAATACTGGTAACAATATTGATCTCCAATTTTGTGATACTGTAAGTACCCAATGAGTCTTACACAGGCAAAGCAGGGAGCAAAGCCCAATGTAAATGTTGACAGTGCATTTAATCTGCTTATTCAAGGCTGATCAGGTTTAGATCTCACCCTAGGTGGCTTGTGATGGGGTGCTGATGGTGGTATAGAACCCACAATTTGAGAATCCTTGTTCTAAGGGGAGGTATTTAATCAGGGATGGCTCTTTAAATGTTGAACTCCAAATGGTGCTGCGTTTATTGCAATTTCTGAGCTTAAGGGATGCACTGTTTAATTCAGGGACAGGGACTGTGTCCTTCATTATATCCCACCAGACTTGGTCAGCATGAGAAAGAGAATCTGGAAGGACACAGATTAATCACCCTTGCTTTTGTATAATAACAGGACAAGGGGGTTTCATGCGGATCCTTTCTAAAAACCCGGAGAATCCGTGTTTGGGTTCAAGTACCTGACTTTTACGCAGCTCCACTTCCTAAATACTTAGGGTTCCCTGGTGAGAGAGCCTCGCATTTTCTTCAGCACAACGCAGAGCGCTCTGCTGTAGCAGCTGTCGCGTAGCTGCAGCCTCAACCTCGCAGGCAATCCCCACATGCAACCGCATCCCCTTCCGAGGCAAGCCCGCCTTCCCACAGCCCCCTTCGTTCCCTCTGACGCGTTACTGCAGTGGGAGAGAACCGGGCGGGGACCACCGCCTAAGCCGAGGCGGCTTAGGTCGAGGAGCTGGAGATTCAGTCCCCGCCCCGGCGCCTCCCCCTGCGCGGGCCGCCCTCGTTCTCGCCCAGCTGCGCGTCCACGCCGTTGGCACACGCGGTCCTCGCCCAATTACCGCAGGCAGGAGTCTGGCCTCAGCGCTTCGTTTCGCGGCCGGCGGTGATGTCGGCGCTGGAGTGGTTCGCGCACAAGTCTCTGGGCGGAGGTATCTACTGGATCCAAGAGCGCTTCTACGAGTCGGGCAACCGCGCCAATATCTGGCTGGTGCGCGGCTCCCAGCGGGACGTGGTCATCGACACGGGGCTGGGGCTGCGCAGCCTCCCCGACTACCTTCACCTGGCCGGGCTCTTGGATCCCGAGCCGGCCCAGGGCGACCAGGAGGGAGCAGGTCGCGGCGAAGCAGGGAAGGAGCCCGCAAGCAGCGGGCGGCGGCGGCCGTTGCTAGCCATCGCCACCCATGTGCACTTCGACCACTCGGGCGGGCTGCACCAGTTCGAGGAGGTGGCTGTGCACAGCGCCGAGGCCGGAGCCCTGCGCCGCGGCGATAACTACGAGACCGTCACTTGGCTCTGGGACAGCGAGGTGGTGAGGCCGCCGAGCCCCGGCTGGAGGGCCAGACAGTTCCGAGTGCGACCCGTCCAGCCGACTCACGTCTTGCAGGAGGGTAAGCGCGGGGCGGGGGGACGGCGGGCTGCCACGGGGGACGCGCATCTCGCCCCGGAGGCAGCTTGTAGCAGCAGGGCGGGCAGGCTCCGCGTCCCAACTGCCCCGCGCCTGCTGGGACCCCGGAGTACAGTCTTGAACTGATGAACGCTTTCTTCTTAAGCTGCCTTCTGACCCACGTCCTGCAAGGACGCGCATGTGTGATTTCAGGGATTAATGGTTCTTTAAACACTAGGCTGGGTGATTTCTTGTATGCAATATAATATATTTGGGGGGTGCTTCTTTTTCATTTTCTTATTTTTTTTCCTTTTCTTATTACTTCAGAAAACCCTCTGTGAGAAAGAGAGCTCTGGCCACGTGCAGAATTTGGCTTTCTTTAATATCGTATAGGTCATAGTGAATTGGAAGGGCGTACAACAGGCAGGTTTGAGTATTATCAGCATTACTTCTGTATTGCAAATGGACTGCTGGGCCTCTGCTGAAGTGGATTATTTGGACACAGTAATGGGAAGGGTGGGCTGTTGGAGTCCTGCAACTTTTCTGTTACTGCAATAAAATACTGGGTATTCGTATTCACCTATCAAAAATGCAGGCGCATTGTCTGGAGCCTTGTGAGAGGGTGGTATAAAAATTGTAAGTTCTGTTTTTCAGAAAAATTAATATTTAGCATAATTTATTGTGCAAGATGTACTTAAGATATAAGTGTACTTAAGTTATAAAGATTCAGTAATGGAGGTAGATGGATTTTGAGTGCTAGTGTTAAATTAATAAGGCGTGGGAGGGGTGTACTATGCCATTTCAGTAACAGTGTGTAAAAGGAAGGGAATTTCTGGTGATACAGTACAAGGAAATAATAGAATTAGTCTGGGTTATAGCTTCAGTTCTTTGAGTATGGCAAGGGGTGGAGCAATTCTCCCAAGATTTGAAATCACTAGGAAATACATATATAGGGAATGGAGGAGGAAAACATGGGGGGTGAGGGTGGAGTGGAAATGGAAAGTATAGCGTTATATGGTCTCTGTACTTTTATAAAATGTTTTAAAAGGAGATTATAGATGGGAGCATAGAAACAGAGCAGTGTATATGGGTTTCTTAAAGAGAAAAAATGCATGAGCTACATGCATATTTCATCCATGATGTTGAAATCATCTTTTTGGTATGGCTGTATGTAAAAGATTGTATCTCTTTAAATCTGGAAGGAGAGATTGAGAGCAGCTTTGTAAAATCCACGCACAGAGCATTGAAGTAGTGAGTCTGGCTCTTAAAGGTCATACAAATGTGCATATGCACTGTCAGAGTCTGAAAGAAACAGTGTGGGTGGGGACATCTTGAGCATCTGCTGAGGAATGGGTGGGATACAAAGTACATGATGCAGCAAATCACGAAGACTCTTAATACCATGTACTTCTGTAGGGTATCCCTGTTGCTTGGGCGAAAAAAAAAAAGTAAGCATATCATCCAAAGAAAAAATGCCCAGGAATTCAATTTTGCCAAGAAGTAACATTGCTATGAACAATGAGTTTTGAACATTTATCCATGAAATATTTGTGCTGTATGCTGGAGAAAACATTGTGGTGCTTTGTGTATGTGTGTGTATGTGTTTGTATGTGGCACCTTTTGAGAACAACAGATCTTAGTTTTATGAGATTTTTTTTCCAGCATGTATCTGTCCATTCCGCAGTTCTATCAACATTTTGGAACAACTGGTCATGCTTAAGTCCTTTAAATACTATCCACAGATTATAACCTAGGAGTGGCATCTTATGCACGCTTCTTCCAATTAAGTGTTTCACACATTACAACCCAAACATTTCAATATATAGTTCAGTATCTAACAGTTCAGCCTATATGTTTAATATCTAATTAAACGCCTAAATAGGCGTGGAAAACCTTGAAGGCATAAGCCAAATTAGACTGATTATCTGATTCTTTTCACTCACCTCATTATACCTATTATTTTAGACTCTTCACTTTTAATATTTCCCTAGCTACATTTTTGTTTAACTGTGGCCTGATTAACTTTTCAGAGGTTATAAACAGTGCTGGAATTTGGGGAGAAAAAGTAGAAAGATTCTGATTGATGTTCAAAGGGTGCATCCTGATTTATTAGATTATAAGCTCCTTGTGGGAGAAAGCTCTCCCTTTATATTCTGTAAAGCATCTTCTACTCGATTGTACTCTATAAATTACAATAACATTATGGCAGAAATCAAGATGTCAAGAATATCTTCTTGTATAAGACTATTACAAAACTTTATCAGCTTTTGAGATTTTTTTACTAAGTCTTACCATCATTAAATGTTTGGTGTGTGGGCACTATAAAAATGTCCATTTTGATTATGATGCCCACAATCTGGAATACCAGTCCAGTAGTAAATTCCAGCATTGCTTGATTTTAGGTAATAGTTTTATTTCATTGTGCCTAATCTGACATACTTTTTCTCAAGGATATACATGGCTCTTCAACTTTTTACAAAGTTTTTTAGAGAATAGTTGTTTTGTTGTTGATGATGTTTTGTTATTTGTAAGCCACCTTAATTATAGTCAACGTAAAATCATAGAATACTACTTTATAGCTTTGATCCACCTTTCTCATTTTTGTCTTGACACTAACTGACAGTTGTTCCAAAAGGTTTCCAACTGGAGTCTTTTTTAGTATTACCAGGAGATACTGTGGTTGGAATATGGGTATCTTGCATGAGCGCATATGCTCTGCCATGAAACTGCAACCTTTTACTCAAAATTGACTTAGAAACATCTTTATTTTGCCTAAATTATTGTTAACAGTGCATTCATAATCATAGGCATTTCTTCCTAACTATGATGATGCCAAAATGATCAAATGTATATGTTGTGACATGACAGCAACTCTCACTTTATATACTTGTTTCGTAAGGTCACATCCAAGTATCTTCAGGTGAAGTTTGAGTCAACCCATCTTAATACACATTCCTTCACTCCCCCCCATCCCCCTTCTACAAACTCCCATGTTTATAATGTTTGTGTTGCATTAATATATCCATGGTTAATATTCTAAACTTAAGTGCAGGCAATCTTACACAGATGTGATAGCTAAAGAGTATAAGTACATGCAAGTACAACCCTCAGTGTCTCTAGGAGTGTGGGCTACCCTAAAAAGCTTACATCTTCATTTTTATTAGAATTTATTTTCAGAAATAATCATTGAATATTTGAAGGGAACCCTGGAGACCATGGAGGTAGAACTCATGGACATCTCCAATTCTATCACTGTTTTAGTGTTTTCATGGATAGATAAACACCTGTATAGAGCAGCAGTACACTAAGTATGAACTAATTCATGTATCTGAACAGTACCAACGCATTACTAAAATTATCTTAGGACAAATTGATTTTAAACCATTCTACACCATATTTGAGAAAAGAGAAATAGTTTAGTGATAGGGTACATACGTTGCCCCCTCTTTGTACACAATTTTATCTTTTATATGTGTAAGTGAACAACTCAGGAAGACTTGAGTCATAGTATCTGTGAAATGTAAGTATATCCAAAGTAACATTAACAGAGCTGTTGACCATTCTTGTTAATTAAATATTAAATGCATAATGGATTATGTTTGGGGCTATATTACAGCAAGCTGCTGGTTACTACTGCAAACAAGGAAGCAATTTTTCCATCTTGATTTTTTGTGGGGTCCATTAAAAATTGAAAATATGGAAAATGTTATGTTATGATTTAACTAGTTGAAATTATATATTGCATCTTTTCTGGGAAGATAGCATTCTCAAAGATGGGGAGTCAGCCAAGAAAAGCATTACAAGAAAAGCTCAGCCAGAAGATCATTTGATTTAAAATTTTAGAGGGAGATAGGAGTTCAGAATCCTATCTGCTTACATTTCCCAGTAAAGCACACTTTTTGTTATTGCTGCTATTGTAAATGTAGGGCTCCAGAAAATTATTTTCCTTTGTTTAATTGTTTTATTTTTTGAGCCACTCTGCAATTATGTGCATTGATTCTTTGCAGTACCTGTGCTTAATGTTGATGGGGCTTGCTTCAGAGTGAATAATGCTTTTGTTCCTAACTTGGTTTTGTTTGTTTGTTTGTTTGTTTTGAAGTACCCATAGAACAGCTTACACAAGATAATGACCTGTTTTGGATGCAGATTCCCAGGTTTCTAAATTATGGCATATGGACTTGAGAAAGATGGTCACCTCTCCTTGCTCTTCCTTTCTTGCACCGACTTCAGCCCTTAGGTTAAGGTTTAGTTGAAACTAGAATTCATTCTGAGTCTAAAACGGGAAGCTGATTTAATATTGGCTAATAAAATAGATTGTGAGTTAATATCTCAGTCAGTAATCTGACTGATTCAATAACCTATTTTGGATGCAGTGGTTTAAAATAAGCAGGATAACTGAGCTAAAGCTGGTATTAAGGAGAAAGAGGAAGAAGAGTTTCTGACTCAGAATTTAATTTCTACTGACATAATCCATGTTTTATGAGAAATTAAGGTCCAAAATTGGAACATTAGGCTCTGTGTCTAATTGCAAAAGGAATTATTCTCAGTGCTTGCATCCTGGAAACTAGTATATCTAAAAATGGCTAGAAAGAACCTTAATTTGAAATTTTATTTTCCTTATTCAAATTATTTTCTATTGAGACAGAGGCATGATAAGTCTAATAATATGTATTACTATTTGTATATTATTATACACCAAATATTTTAAGTTTTAATGGTTTATCAGAGGAAAGATAGAAAAGGTAGGAGAAAGTATAAAGAAACAACAAACTAAATGAAATTAGTCAGACTAATACACACACGCACACCCCTTTGTAGCAGTTACAACAAAGCCTTTTGAGACTAACTTTCACTTTGGGGAAATGTCTGAAATTAAAAACAAATGGCTATAAGAAATCTTGCGAAATTAAGTTCAAGCAGCTAGTAGTTTTAGTTCATTGAATGTCAAAATGATTACTTAGTAATTTTCTTGATTGCTGAAATGTACAGAATTAAGTAAATATGAAATCTAATTGATGAGGATGGTTCATTATCCTCTTTTGTGTTCTTCTTCATCCTTTATCAGCCCCTTACTTTAGCCATTATCTGCTACTGCTACTCACAATGTGAAAAATGAAAGATACACTATATCGTGTGGTATATCTGTATACTGTATATACAAATATACAGTATTTTATAGTTGTGTAGTTTTAGTTACTTATTATACATACAATTCATATACTACTACATTTCTAGAGATTCTGAGCTGCTTGCAATATAAATATAACAAGATTTTAAAAAATCATTTAATATAACTATAAACAGTCCATCTGAGGCACCACCATTTGGGAGTAACAAAATCTCACTTGGATTCAAATGCCTTTCTTACGTGGTCTGGACATTACAAAGGAAGGGGACTATCACTTGGTCTGGGTTCTATAAAGATGGCATTCCCTTGGTGGCAGAACCTTCAGTAAGTCCTCACTCCCAGGATGGGCAGATTCAACTCAGAGGAGGTGGTAACAGAGATATCCAGCTCCTGAGCCATTTAGGGCTTTAAAGGTGACAATCATCATCTTGAACTGTACTCAGAAATCATCATCATCTTGAACTGTACTCCCTGGCAGCCAGTGCAGCTCCTATAGTAGTGGTGTTACATGGGTGAACCTGAATGCAGCCTAACTAGTCAGGTTGCTGCATATTGTACCAGGTGAAGCTTCAAAATGATCTACAAGGGCAACTCCATGTATTGTACATCACAGTAATCCAGCCTCAAGGGTCATGAGTAACTCTGAATAAAGCCTCCTGATCTAGAAAAAGTTACACCTGGCCACTGTAGTTGCACAAGGGCCTTCCTGGCCACTGCCTCCACCTACTGTTCAAGCAGGAGCTGTCAGTTCATGTTGATCCACAAATTGTAGGCCAGGTCCATCTGGGAAAACCCTACCCCATCTGGAGACAAAGATGGACCAAGTAAGATGGACTAAGTCATCTTCTAAATCCACAGCTGCTCTGTCTTGGTAGAATTCAGTTTAAGTTTGTTTCTCACAGTACATACCCTAACAGCCTCCAGTCACTGAGTCAAGACCTCCACCCTGTATGTTGCCTGAACCCAGATGGAAAATATATAATTGGATATCAGCATATTTGATGATACCTCACCTCATTCTGGCAGATGATCTCTCCCAGGAGCTTCAGGTAGATGTTAAACAATAGGGGGAAGAGAACTGAGCTGTGCAGCAATCCAAAAGTCAAGGGCCCAACCTCTGCCACTGCCAGTGGGAACTGACCACTCAGGAATAACTGTCCCACAGCTCTCACAGCAAAATCTCCTAACGTACAGTAATTGCAGGCAGATACCGTGATATGTGGTATTGAAGGTCACTCACAAGTCCAGCAGAACTAGTATAGTCATACTCCTTCCATCCAAGCCTTGCCAGAGGTAATCAAGAAGAGTAACCAATGAAGTTTCAATTCCATACCCACACCTAAATCCTGATTGAAAAGAGTCCAGATAATCTGTTTCATCCAGAGGACTCTAATTCTAGTCCAACCACCTTTTCAACCACCTTCATTAAAGAGTTTGTGACATCAGCCAATCACTTGGTTATGATGAAAAACATTTGGAAACAATCTGAGTAACTACTACTACCATTATTATTTTATTTATTTATTTATTTATTTATTTTTATTGCAAAAGCTTCCTGTAAAATGTTCAATTTATTCTATTGAATTATGGATTTTTATTACAGTTCAGAGAAAACTGTATTTGGTTTATTGTAACTAGTAGTAAAATTGTTATATAATAAGTTAATTAGATTGATAAATTAGGTATGGCTTTTTTAAGCTAAATATTTTCTTTAATAGGCTTCTGTTGCCAGATTAGTAAAATAGAAATCTCATAGTTGTACCTCTCTTTTTAGTTTGAAGGTCAATACTATGGCTGCAATATGGCCAGGTTATCTGGCTTTAGCCTGGATTCTGGACATGTTATCCAGTGCTTGTTCAGGTTGCTATTTGGCCTGGAACCCTAACTCTCCTCCCAGTTTTTTTTTTTAAAGCAAAGAGCATTCTGGCTCTGTAAGATCTATGGATATAAGGCAAAATGTCCAGATATTATTTTGACTGGTTGTGTACTTAGAAATAACTCTACTCTGCATTGCATTAGCTTAGTCAGTAAGGCAATTATATATGAAGAAAGCAGCGTGACCTGCTTAGTTACCTTCTTGTATGTAGTAATACAAGAATAGAAAAAAAAAAACAAAATTGTGGAGCCATCTTTCCTTTTTAGTCAGAACTGTACTGTGATGACCAAAATAAAGCAACATCAGATCTTGTAGTCTTTAGGTACTTTCTCACCTTTTGGGGCTGCTGGTTATATTTGTGAATTGTGAGAGGATGCATGTCCTGATCTGGCAATATCTCAGGTTGTGTTGGTCTTTTAGCCTATTATTTGGACAGTTGTTTTCCATCAAATTCTTCTTTATGATTCTACCCTGAACCCTAAATTGCAGGATACAACAAAGATAGAGGACCTCTTATTTTATATCAAAGATTTGAACTCTGCCAAAAGACCATGTGCATGGAACTGGGGCTGTAAATGGGTACCGCTGCTCCTTGTCTTTCTTTTTCTTAGTTTACATCCTTTCCAGTTATTTGCTGCCCAGGGAGGAATATTGTTTCTACCAGAATACCTAAACTGATCACTCTGAAAGCTTGCAGCTTCCCTGCCCATGATGTACAAAGATTACAGGGGATAGAAGAATTGTCTAATTTTATAAGTTCATTTATTTGAAGAAGTAGGTATGGCAACATTTACCATGAGTAGTCTGCATTTTCTTGAAAGTTATTTTATTTTGCATTTGTAAACTATGTTATGATTCTGTAGGTTAGCATTTCTTGTAGTATTAGTCTGTTCTCTAGAAGCTATGTATCCAAGTAAGAAATGAATCCATCTTATCTGTAGTGCGCAGAATGCATACATATAAGCGTGAAGGCAGCATTTCACAATTTCAGTTGCTGAAGTATATTTTGAAGGATTTGACAGCATTATATTAGAACAAACTTGCAGGGTTTTTTCTTGGTAATTCCTTAATAATAGTCATCTTAATTTCTAACCGTCACAGGATAAATTACCTCAAAATATACCCATAAACTAGAAAGCCTTCAAAATATGCAATAGTGGAGGGAGTAGAGTGTTTAAACAAAGTGTTACAAGCCCGTTTCAATTTTAATCTCCAAAACGTTGACGAGGATGCCAGAGCCAGAGACTTAGAAAGCTACTTCTTAAAAGCATTTGTGCTAATTGTGAAGAACGTTTACGTTTTTTACTCTGTTTATGTTCAGTAAGCTTTGTATTCTGTGGATGATATTGAGTGAGCTGATGTAACCAAATAGTCCACAAGCCAGGTATTACTACTATTGTGTATTGAGCTTCATTCACTTGTAGCTTCCTTAATTATGGCTTCTGTGGGAGATAGAGTTCAAGCTGACAGTTGTTTTGTTTTCTTTTATAAAGAATAAGAAAGTGCAGTTTGAGACAATTGGCTGTCAGTTGGAGCTGATGGAAAAGAGCAGAGCTCAGAAAAGTACAAGCTGTCCAGTCTAATAGAACTCTTATGAGAGGAAACCCAGTTGGTAACAGGCATGAAATCATGCTGTGAGATAAGGATGATGTTAAACATGCATAGTATTATATGCTGGATTTCCCAGTAGACTATAGCTTTGCCATGTTGCTGCTCATCTGGCAAATGTGGTTGGAAGAGACCTAAAAAGATCAGTTTCTTTTCTTCATATATTTACTCTTCCCCTTCCACTGAGCGCTAAACTAAGGTAAGTATTAATGCTCACAGAGTCCTTCCTATTTTGCGTGGGTGTTCATCTTTGTCAAGCATGTGGGGAGGAGTGATATATGTCTTCCTGCATAGTTGGCTTCTAGTTACAGTTCTAATGCATGAGTTTATAGCAGAAACAAACATAAGACTGCATTTTCGAAAACCGTTTTGTCCATAAAATTTTGTTTCTTCTTGTAGGGGATGTGATCAGCCTTGGTGATAGACAGCTCACTGTCATGCACATGCCTGGCCATTCGAGAGGAAGCATTTGTTTGCATGACAGAGAACGGAAGATTCTGTTCAGTGGGGATGTTGTATATGATGGCTCAATGATTGACTGGCTTCCCTACAGCCGAATAAATGACTACGTTACAACCTGCCAGCGACTGATAGAATTAGTCAATAGGGGCCTTGTGGAGAAAGTCCTTCCAGGGCATTTTAACACATTTGGAGCTGAACGGCTGTACCGTTTGGCTTCCAACTATATTTCAAATGCTGGGGTTTGTCACAAGATTTCTACGTGTGCGATGAGATCGGTTGCAAGCCTAGCACTTCGCGCAACAAATCCTAGAACAACTTCATAGTCTTAACTTCACAGCCACGAAGATGCTTATTTTTATCTAATTAATTTATATTTTAAAAATGCCAATATATGCTAGTAGCTGTGCCAAAGCTACTCATCTTTTTTGTCTCTTTTCAAGGCAAGTTTGCACATATGTTGAATGCTATTTGACAGATGTTCTAAATAATTTATTTTGTATTTTAAACCATTTTGAAACATGCACGCTAAAATAAAAGTTTTGCACTTGTGTCAAACTTTCTGATGCAGCTTCAGTTAGAGGTTTATGTTGAAAGCATATTTTAAACGACTGAAATTTAAAAGCAAGGGTTGTGGGAAGAAGGGGCTATTAGAACATTCCACTGTCATGTTGAATGCACTAAGTACCTAAGTAATTTTTATTGTATGGGATGAATGTAAACTGAAGTTAATACCAAATGTTCATATCCAATATTGTTCTATGTTATTGTTGTTCTTGAATTGTATTGCATTTAGGTATTGGTTTAAAAAAATGAAATGCCATTTAATATTTTAAGTATATTGCTTGCTTTTCAAATATGACTAATGCTATAAGTGTGAGTGTATAACTATTAAAAGTTCAGTCTGACAATTTTTAAGTAAAACATGCACCCATAATCCAAGGTTTTTAATTCCTGTAGTACCACAGTTGCAGAAACCCTTCAGCAAGTGTGAGTTGCTGATTGAACCACAGTTGTAAACAAAATGGGCGTCCGCAGCAAGCAAATTGATATTGGGTGGTAGGTTGTATCAGGTGCCCTGGCCCTTTGCACATTACATGCGGGTCAGACTTCAGTTAAAAGTTTTCACCCATCATATATTATTTTTCTCTTATTAGTTTCTTTTCTTTCCTTCTTTCCACAATTTGCATTGTGCTAGTTTCTTGTATGAAAACAGAGCTTGTGTCTTGCATCAGAATTTGATTTGTTGGAATTCAGTAAAAATTATATTAAAATTACCTTTCTTGCAAGAACAGTAACTTACTTGACTATTGTGGCCATCATACTTTTTCCCTTTTTGAATTCCATTGCACAATATCTCCCCAACATCAAAGCAACACTTTGATGCTTGATACCACAGTATTCAGCACTTTGTATCCTATGAAAGTATAGTTCTTAAAATGTTAACAGTGCCTATTTCCTGTTCTAAAACAGATGAATAAATAGTGCAAAGTACATCATTTTGGCAATTAATACTGGAATTACTGTCTATACTAACAAAAACTATTAATTCAGTACCTTTGAATAATAGGAAAAAGGCATCTAGCAGTATAACCTCAGATTAGCAAATGCTGTTTGTATGCTATTAAAAATTGTATAGTCATAACCGAGGAGCCACACAGTTGTGATGAAAAGATTAGGAGTGTGTTGCCATATTATTGCACTCATATCCATTCCCTTTTTGACCAGATTTCTTCCTCTTGGGTTAAATACAGTTAAGCACAGTGTCAGCTACAGTATTAAGCACAATCAAGGTTAATCTGATTCCTGCTTAATCAAGATTTTCAACCATCTTGGAATCCATGTGAGTTTGTAGTGCCTTGTTTATTTCTGCTACAGAATGACTTTTTGGTCTGGACCATTACGAAATTATTTTGTTCTGAAATATTGCTGAGGCATTAATAACAATTTTATCCATAGGTAAAAGAAACTGCTTATTTTCACTTTCTATTCCCTCCTCTCCCTTTGCCGATGTCTTGAAAGTCGTTTTACCAAAGTGTTGATACTTTGATTTCTCACTATGAGAGTAATTCAGTGTAAGGAATCCTACAGGTGTCAAAGTCTTGTGGTGAAGGACTGATCTGAAGCTTTTCTGTTGGTTTAGTAAGTTACCAAGCAATCAGCTACTTATACAACTTGCTGATTTTAAAGAAAATCTGTCTTGTTTCAATCCGATTAGGTCACAAAGTAAGCTTACCTACTGAAGCCAATAAATAATTATGGTTATTGGGAAATATATTCAGATGGGAAGGACCTTCCTTACTGAAATATAAATACTACTCAATTCAGTGAGATTTTATTCTAGTAAGTGAACAGTGGATTGTAGCTTTATTCAAGTTTCAACCTAGAAGTGGATCACAATTCAACTTTTGATTATTATTGGTTAGTAAAATACTACCCCTGAGAGAGAATGCTATAGAATCTTTATTGTTTTAAATATTTTTATATTATAAAGTTTATTTCTGAAAGAAAACATTTTTTAAAAAATGATACTGATCATACATTTACTATACTTTTTTTTGTAAAAAAGTTTGGAACCACTAAGGGATTCTGTATTTGTCTGTTTTTCACAGTTTAAAAACCCAATAACCTAGTTAAAATAAAATTATTTGGATTTCAGCCATGTTGATATGTTATCACTTTAAGAGGTATTATTTAACTGGGTCATGAATACTGCTGTAATATATGGTTTAAAAGAATTTTTAAAAGTTGTAATGCACCATACTAATAAAACTTTACTAATGGCATTGGTTTCAAGAAAACAATTATATAATTTATCATTGATATTGATAATAAAATAATAATGACACAAAATACTTCTCCAGTGAGATTTCCATTTTTCTTTTTGGTTCCCTTTCCTTTTGAGTGAGAGGATACATATTTGTTTCCCTTAGGAGAGATAAGAGGAGTGATAGGGGTATAAACAATCAAGGTTTCGGGGATGGGGGAAATAGTTTGAACATACCAGTTGCCACCTCTAAAATTGCTTTGTGTATCTTGACAAATTGAAAGAAAATGCCAGGAAACCCCAGGGGCATAAGATTAGCCTGCAAAGACAATAGAGAGGGATGAAACAATCAGCAAATCTATCTATCTATCTATCTATCTATCTATCTATCTATCTATCTATCTATCTATCTATCTATATCTATCAAATTTGTATGGCCGCCTATCTCACAAAAAGTGACTCTGGGCGGCATACAACAATCTGAAATACGTCCATACTGCTGCCAAGAAAACCACATAACTTGTCCATATAATAACCAAGAATTGAGGTTCTCTTGAATCCTTCACCATTTTACTGTACTTACTGTATAGTGATATCATTTGTGAAAATGTATCATTTTTAGGATGATCTTGTTTCTGTAAGACTATTTCATATCTTGCACTGATGTTTTAGACAGGGCCTTTTTACATTTATGGTAACTATATTAACTGCAGTAACTATTCATTAATCACTCTTGATTTTTTCTTAGTACACTAATCAGAATGGTATTTTAAAGTTGCTTTCACCCCAAGTGCTGAGAGTGCTTTACACAATTAATGAAATTAGGCTAGTATAATCAACTGCATATTGTCTCTTTTAAAAAAAAAAATGGTTTATTCCTTCCTTTCATGTTGATATAGATATGGGAGTTCCCAGAGCCCAATTTTTTAAAGTACAATGCTATTTTACATCAAATTCTTAACAGTTCTTTTGAACTGATTTTGGTTTTTTAATATATGCTATGTTATCTCTTCGATAACCATTCTAAATAATACTGAAGATGCCTCTATCAAGACAAGGTGCAAAAAATATACATTAATTTGTCTGGGATAAATTATAGAAGATATTTGAAGTTCAGGGGCATAACTGAATATGTGAAAGATGCTGAGATTGAGATCTTTCTCATGCTAAAGCCACATTAATACCTAAAAATGGATATGGTTTTATCCATATTTTACAGATCAATAAGTTAAAGATTGGCCAAAGACTCAAATTTTGTGATCAGTTTCAGAAAAATGTGCTGGAGAAATTGATGGATGGATGTATCTATTGCCACTGAGAAAGCAAATAATCTTACCAAAGGCTGAGCAGAGTGAATTCATTGAGATGTTCAGAATTCTATGGTCTGTTCAATCTATGCTGAACAATTTATTTTATGATGCCATCTGCTGGTGCAGTTGTATATATGCAAGTAAGACAAGCTGCAAAGTTGTGGGTTTTCTGTCTTCAAGTGTGGCAACATAAAAGACTAACTCCTGTTAAGTTGCTGTTGAAATCTAAATGAATTTTCTTAGTAGATATCCTCAGTGTGAATATTACCCACTTTCATTTGTAAAGAGATTTTACCAAAAAATTATATACTCATGTCCTGGAATCCGTTTCTTAAAAACAGGAGAATAAGTTTCTTTTCAATTCTGTAAAATTATCCTCTTGGTTGTGCCCCAGCCTCAACAGAGCCAAAGCTCTTCACAAAATGACAAATTCCATTTTTTAGGCATATAGTTCAGCATCACATTAAGATCCTTAACTATAATCTTTCCAGACTTATATTGACATATGTAGTGATTTAAAACCAAAATAAGGCTATGACTGGACAAGACCGGATAGTGAGTTAAATTTTTTTAAAAATTGCTTACAAAGCTAACTTTTAAAAAATCTAATGACCATCCCTTTTAAACATTATTTTAGGAATCTAATACACAGGAAATAATATTTTCTGGTGAATTAATTTCATTTTCAAAAGTATATTTTAGTTGATTTCTAATGATTGCTTTAAAGACTTTGAGAGATTGTGCATTAAATATCACTTATCTATACCATTTCCTTGGCAATGTATACAATTGAAAAATGCATTTAAACAGTATGGCCCAGATATTTTAGCAGCCTCTGTTGTACCTGCATTGTAGGATCCTTAAGAGATGCAACACTGGAACAGAGTTCAACATTTCAATTTTATAAGAAATTAAAACGTAAAATGAACTTTAATATTAATTATATATCTGAATTGTGAAATGAATTGAAATATTCAATTTTGGAGAATCAATGGGTCAAGATTTTAAGAAATGCAGAATAAGTTCAGCATCATGGTGAAGTCAGTAAATTAAAATTTGCTCCACTAGGAAAACATTACTGTTCTTGACAGAGCAGATATCCCACATAGGTGTGGATTTTGGAAATTATATGTGTTGAACAGTGGTTGAGTGAATAGAGTTCTCAGTAACAGCATTTTACATCAGCCTTCAACACTAACATCTATATTTCTGGAGAGCATCAGGTGTTTGGAAAAATAGTATCATGAGAAAAGAAATGTTCACTGTTGATTCAGCCAAACTTCTTGAAGTGTCACCACAACACAGCAGTATTACTGATGGTAGAAGCTATATATTTAGGAGTGCAACTGGAGGGTTCTGTTATATGGAAATACAGTGGCCCAAATAACTCATATACATAAATGTGCTTAGCAATATGTGCACGTGTGTATGCATGTATGTGTCATACACATTTTTACTGGGTTTTCATAATTAAAAATAAAATCCCTCATTAACAAACATACTATGGGCTCTTACGGGCCATGTTAATGTGCTGTTCTGCCTTTAAGTTGAAGGAAAGCTTGTTGATATAAACTGTGTTACCCCCACAGCTTACCTTTATTGCGCCTACCAACAATGCTGGGCAGTTTTGCTGTCCTCACACAATTTAATTAAAGGCAGTTTCAGAGCTGTGAAAGGTGGATTCCCTGCCATCTTTTCCCCTCCCATGATCTCCTACCAACAGGAAAATCAACCACTGGCTGCTCTCCTAAACTCGTGGTGGGGTGGGATTGGGAATTCAAGCCTTCATTTTTATGATTTATTTAGCCTTTATTATTACCATCTACTGCAGGCTGTTTCTGACAAGACGACTAACTTTCCATTTTGTGCATACTGCCATCTAGAGATTATCCAGATTACTGCAGGAACATGGGAGAGCAATACTCTTACTATCAGTAAGAGATAAAAGATAACCATGTCAAATAACCCCTACCCTTAATCTGCCTGAGTGGTTTCATAAGCAGATTTGAAATACAAAGCAGAGAACCCTGAACCAAAATGCTCAATGCCATTGTGCTTCTGCATCTTTCTTCCCTTTTTTCTTCCTGAAGTCAGTGTTGTTTTTGGCCAGGAAAGAGTTTTTCTCTTCCACTCCCCTCTTCCCATTTAAATGTGTGTGTGTGTCTCCCACACTTCCCCCTTTTTAATATACCCAGCATACAGTATACATATCTAATGTACATATGCACCAGATAGCAGAATTTCTGGTTGACAAGTCTATCAAACTCCTGGGAGTTTAACAAGGGAAAATAATCAGGCGTCCAGTCTCTCATAGCCAAAGTCAGAATGACCCTGGATGCTCAGTACTCACAACCAGATGGAGACAGCGTGTACCACAGACCTGTCAGGCCAATTGGAACTGAGTGATAACTATTCATACCTACGTACCCCCAAACTCATCTCCAAGGTACCTTAGATCATTCCTTATGACAAGCTTTTGGTTGGGAGAAAAAAAATGCCACTTCTAAACTGGAAGGGCAACTCTAAGCTGCCTGAACAGTGGGCTGGGGATATGATAGCAACGTCTTGACATATCCATCAAAAATCCTTAATGTATCTGTGCTGCAGCAAGTAGGACATGAGGCTTAGTCCTATAATTGGCATACAAGTAAGTTTGCTTGCCTAGGAATTGAACATGCAGAAAAAAGTACATAGACAGTGTTGCCTCCTTCCAAAAACTTTCATAACTACGTACTCAGTTTAGAAATCAGGACCAAAGAGGATTCACGCATTCATCATTTTAAGTCAGTCTAAAAGAAATGAATAAACCTCATGGCTTCAATGTCTGGCATGTTTTTACAATTTCTTGCTTCCTCATATCTTGTATTATCCTTCCTAATGCAGTTATTTGGGAAGCTCAAAAAGTTGCATACTCTTAATTATTTTGATGATAAGAAAGGATTTTTTTCCTGGCAGATTGACAGCTATGATTTCTCTGTATATCTGCATCATATAGGGAGATTGAACAGTTGCAACTGCCAAGTGGTATTTTGCTTGCTATCAAATCCTGTAAAACTTAACATCTATTTCATTTGCAAGGTTTGCATAAAATTAGGAAATGTCAATTGCATTATTACTGATGATATTAGAAAGTAGAAATGCTTTCAGATAGGAACTTTAGCACACACAAAATATCAGTCCTGGAATATATTTTAAAAAGTTTGTAAATTATCATCTGTAGTCAATTGATTTATTTTTATTTTTCAAGAACTGCTATAATTGGTATCGTTTGGAAAAGTTTTCTTAATATGTAGATGTACAGCACTCCACTGAGAGACCGTATAATTAAAGCAGGGTATAAATGTGATAGATAAATAAACTGTTACAGATATGGAAGAAATAAACTCAAGTACTTAAATTACATTTACCTCCTTAACTTTAAAAAGTAGGTTATATAAATAGATTTCAGGAGGGTTCATTTTAGGGTCAAGGTGCCTCGCAGCACTGTCATTTCAATATTAGGATTTATTGAATCACAGAAGATGTCATTCCTATTCTAGAGACTTATTTGGTTCTTAAATCTGTCACTCCCTAAATTGATCTGTCCATTTTGAGGCCCATGGTTGTACTTCTACAGGGGTGACATTCCTGTCACAGGGACTGCTAGTCCAGTCTCTCAAAACCATTCCACTCCTGTTTAACCATGTGATTAATGTCTTTATTTACAGAACAGGTTTTTAAAATAGTACTTCCCAACATCTAGACTGAGGAACAGATGTTATCTCAT